CCATGGATTCTTTTAGGCAGATGCTTGTAGCTTGAATTTGTGATGTAACGAGCGCCTAAATAGCTGCAATTGTTGATTATAGCCATATTCATTTTCGAAATTTCCTCACTTCTGTGCACAGACAGAAAGAGAGAGACGTGTCTTCGATTACATACTTGAGATATTTTATTAGAATCATGCTGCTACGTGTACAACATGACAAAGAATATTGATGGACAAACAACGTCTTATCTGGCATCATTCATATTCATCCATTTTAAAAAACTGTTTTGTACCTCACATGCTAGGATTTTGACAGCACATTGTTGTAAAAAAAAATATTGTACACTTAGCTGACTTTTCGTTCTCAACTTTATTTAGTTAAGAATTAATTTTTTCTTAAAAAAATAATATAATGTGCAGTTGATAAAAAATTTATTGGTTCCATCAATATATAATTAAAAATAAGTTTGAAAAAAAAATAAAGTTTAGACAATGAAATCCAATCATGACTTAGTCAAAAAACCTAATGAGCAAGAATAATGCTGTTTGTACCAAGTTGGTTGACAAAGTTTCTTTACAAAGTGACGTGTATGGTTGAGATGAATTGGGAGTGGACGGCTGGGATTTATAAGGATGAAACTGATGGCGCCAAAACAAAAAGGGAAAGGGCAGGAAACAACATTGCATTATTGAATCCCCAAACCATCTTCTCTCTCCCCGTTTCCCCCTCCTTGTCGAAGACCCATTTCCAGATCTAAAATTGAGATCGATCTTCCTCGTCCAAGACCCATTTTTGGGCCTAAAATCCAGAAATTGGTCTTCATCTTCTCCAAGCATTCCGTTCCAGAAACAAGAAAATCGGTCCCCATTTCCTCCAAATCGATTCCCCCAAATTACACATATGCTTCATCTTCTCCAAGCATTCAGTTCCAGAATTGGAAACATTCAGTTCTAGAAATTGGTCTTCAACGAGCTCCAAGCGATGTTCACCGACTTCTACTTCTTCCCATTTCATGCATTTAGAAACCAGTCATCTGATTTAGTAGCCACAGTTTCAACAAGAAGCTGCTCAATACTCGAACTTTTGAGAAATAAAAAACTAGCAAAGAGGTTGTGGCTTCAACACACCCGAATTGCAGAGGCGGTCGTTCTCAAGATCTTCATCAGTAGCTTGCAGTCAATGGAGTTTGAGTCTATGGTAAGAATGTGATTTTAGTTCCTGAACTGGACATGATTGTTGTGAGAACTTAACATATTAATTGTGTGGGGGATGTCATGTGGTATTCTTTTCTAGCTTGCAGTCAAAGGAGTTTGAGCCCGTAAATTTACTGGTTTATGATTCACTGTGAATTGAAGATGTAGGGGAGAGAGA